CCCCCCCCCAACATTTTTTCAGTAACTATTAATTTTAACTTGTCACGAGTCTTTCAAGCAAAAATATTTTCGGATTATCATTAAAACAAATATAATTGTTCGCAGCATGAGCTGAGTGTGCCTGCAACATTTTACAATATTTCTAATATGACATATTCAACAAAAACATTTTGAATTTCCTCTCCCAAAATTTGTCTCTCGATTCGCCCCTTTGATTATAACTTTATCAACTCCAATGAATAATTCTAATAACATTTGCCAAAGCACATAAATTTTGCCAATTATTACAAGATTTAAACACAAAAAATTTACAATTTTATTGAAAATGCAGGTTAGGTTGGTGAAATCAGAAAATATCAAATTAGCATACAAAAGAAAGTTGCAAACTTTTCTGTCAAGTTCATTTGTTCATAACATCATTCTCACACAAATTTTTCAATTATGTTGAATATATTTAAAAGGAAATGTACATTTCAATACTTTCCATTAGAAGTATATTTATTTGCTTGTTAGATTAGTTTTAAGTTAAAAATGTATTAATGAATTTGATTGTTCTTCCTTTTTCCATGTAATTCCATATTCTATTCCATTCCATTGTAACATCTGTGATTTGAGCTTTAAACATTTCATAACTCCCTTCCTCCAAAATTTCATTTATAAACAGAAAAAATTGCCAGTCAAAACACCTTCACTTAATTAAGTTATATTATAATAAGTATTTAATTAATTTAAAAGCACCAACGTGTAGAAAGAACTCGAATCCTTAAATTTATAAATTCATAATACATTGTGCTCTTTCACTAATTCAATACATTGTTTTAAAATGAAAGAACAATCAAATTTAGTTATACATACATAACATAAAACTAATCTAATAAATAAATAAATATTTACAATGGAAACTATTGAAATGAACTTGCACACTCTGAATAGGACTACAAAAACTGAACAATGTTGTGGAGAAAGAAATACATCTGGTAATAGAACAATTTAAAACTCTGCCTTTGCATCATGGGTTGTCAGTAACAAGACCAGCAGGACCACGACCAACTTGTGCTTTCTGTTTGTTGATAGCTCGCATCGGAGTAAATCCTAATTCTTCTTTTGGGATGCCATATTGCTTTAGTTTACTTTCATAAGTATCCAGCAAATCATCATGAGCCTTGCATAATCTTGCAACTTCATATTGTAAATCATGGATTGCAGCATTTTTTCTATCAAGAAGATCCTGTGAGATAATAGTTAAAATATTATTTAATATATGTTTTATACAATACATTATACTCAGTCTACATAATTTATCCCCATTCTATTTTGACACATTTATACACTAAATATTCTAGCAATATGTGCTACATTGTGCACAATGAATAGTATGAAAAGATTCTGAAGTCAAAATTACATGTAACAACTTGTTATTGTAGATACATAAATAAATCTAAACCTGTCAATCACACAAAATATTTTAAACACACTCATCGGACAATGTTTAGACCTGCATAAAGATAAAACAGTCACATTCATGCTCAAACATACCGTAAGATAAGATGAACTGGAGGGAAGCATATTGATCTCTTTCACTACACAGTACTTTCACTACCAGTAACTTGCAGCACACTGACCAGCAACACAAGTGAGGCCTGAATTATGAAGTGCTGACATTGCCCTACATAGCCCAGGCATGCAATCACAATTCTAGTGAGGCAGCGAAAGTATGTGATTACCTCAGCTGCCCTTGCTGAATCAACATTGAGCAATAAAGTTTCTTTGTCTTTTATACAAGAAGGAATTGAGAAGTTGCTTCTCCTACCTTATCCGATTCCAGTTTTTTTTTTAATTCATGAACAGCAGCTGGATTCACAGCATTATTCAAAAGGCCAGACAACTGTGTTTCTTTCATTTCTAGAAGCTCTAATAAATCTTTGATTTTTTCTTGTAAAATTGTATTTTTCATACTAGTTCTTTGTTGAAGTTCTAATGTTGCATCAGTAAATCGCTGTTGTAATTCATCCCGCTCCATTTTTATCTATAAATAGGCAAAGAGAAAAATGTTCTCAGAGTAAGGTCAATGTCTCCTTTAAAGTTTTCTTAAGAAGCCATTTAATAATTTCAAAAATCAAACAAATGCTTTACATAATTTGAAAGTAAAATATGTATACCATTGTTAATGTTTGTATAAAATGACTAATAAATATTTTATAATCTGTAAACTGCAGGAAATAAAATTGCTAATGAGTAAGCATGAACAAATTGTAACTGAAAATGAAACTCTCTCTTTCATTACCTAGCTTTTCTTACTCCTACAAAGATGAATAGAAGATAACCTACAAATGACTATTACATCCCGGTCAGCAATCATGCCTCATTCATATTTAGATTATTTACTAGATATTTATATTATTTAATACTTAGTTAGATATAAATATTCTGATAATACATTCATAATGTTCCTGTATAGCATTTTCCACTACATTAAAAGCGAAACAAAACAAAATAACTTATACCTTTTCTGATTCCAAGCGTAAAAGGTCATTCTGCCATTTCAGCTCCTTAAGTTCACTCTGAGCTGAATTGAATCGAGCTTTAGTATTCTGAAATATTTTAATGTATTTATTACAGGTAGGTCAATGTAAAACATATAATATAAATACACTGAAATTTTATAATTCTCATTGATTTAAGTAATTCAAACAATTCATTTTAATAAAATGAGTTTGTAAAACATCAGATGTAACTACTCTTTTTTTAATGATGAGATTCTGATATTTAAAAAACAAAATTGTGCTACTTATGCAAATGGTAATGATCGTTAGCTCACTGTATAAAATTGATCTTGCTGCTTAAAAATCAGCAAAATTAGACATATTTTATATATGTGAAACTCATGAATTCTTTTCAAATCTGTTTTTAAATTTATTTTGTCAAAACAATAATTTCATTACTAATTAAATGAAATAAAAACAAAGGCCTTAATACATTCAAAATCATGCAATTCAATAATCAATAATTTAAATTTATTTTTTGCACTACTTTATTTTATGAGATGGTAATGAATAGGTAACAAAGCTTGTTATGATATTTTGTCTTAGATGAATTTTTTACAATTGAAGTTAAATTAAAATAACAAGCATGCTCATTACAAAATACATTCATTCTACAAAGAGGATTTAAAAACACTTAAAAACAAATATAAATTCCAATCATTTAAGATATAATTGAAAAGTAACAGGTTTGGAATAAAAAAATTTTGTTGAACTTAATGATCACTGAAAATATGTTAGTGCTATATTTAATACTACTTTGTAAAATTTGTTCACATAATTCTAAATATGAGTTCACTAACAATCACAAATTACAAACAATAATATATATTTTTGCGTAAAAAGATATTTTATGTTTTTGGAGGCTGGTAACTAAAGAGGGTACCCATGGGTGACGCTCGAAGTCATAGTGCAAGAAATACAAATAGGACACCTAGATGTGTAGAATGTTTGTAAATAAAAAGTTGTTATCATTCATGACAATGTGTGTAAATATCTAGGGTTTTAAAAATAAACTGCATATTAACAAATGTAGAATTATCTAATGAACTTCATTAGATGTGTGCTTTTCAGGTGTGCTTTAGGGTGTGCTTTCCTTCCCATATCCCAGTATCTGTATCTGTGTGATGATAAGAAAGCTCACATCTCTGGTTGAAAAGATCAGAATACAGTGTAAGGATGTTTGTGTGCTAACCACACGTACCCCTTAACCCAGCCCCCCTTTTTTTTTCTTTCTTTTTTTTTCAAAAAAACTATTATTATACGTTTCCTGCTTTGTTGAAAAGGAAAGTTTCAAATCAAAAACTTTCTAGTTAAAATTCATAATATCATAAGAGCTGACATATTTCATTGCCAGATCTGGCTGAAAAATTTATAAGATAGCTTTAAAACTATATAATGTGACTCATAATAATTACATATAACAATTTATACCCTAATAATAACCCAATAATTTACTATTGTAATACTCCTAAGTACTGCTCCCTCTGTATGGTATTTATATATTGTTAAAAAATATTGCTAAAAAATTTAAAAGAAAGCTAGGAAATTCACATTTAATACATATTCCAGAAATATCCCATTCCTTTTGTCATGCAAGAAATTAATGTCAGCACATGTGTTAAAGTTTCAAAATATAATGCTAACAAAAGTTTTTATAGCAGAGACTCTGAATTTACAGAAATTTTAAAAATTCATAAATGTTAAAAACTATAAAAGAACAAAAGAAAACATTTTTTCTGGGGCTTTTTTTACAGCAGACAGACAGTTACCCTTAAATCCTGATGGGACATACATTCGGCCATACACCTGACACCAACACACTAGTGGGCACCTCTGATCTGGGGTCAGCAGCATGTGAGGCCCACCATGACAACACATACATAAGACACAAGGGAAAAACAACCAAGCCCAAGGTGGGACTCGAACACGTGACTGTTTGGACTGAAGTCAGTACACACTCTTAGCCACCTCAGCCTTCCATCAGCAAAAACCATTCAGTAATAGCCTACATTTTACCCATTGCCTTTCTAATATACACATGGGCACAGTACCCAGAATCCTGTAAATCACACCTCAAATTTTGATTAAAAAACTCCTGTAAAAAAATGAATAATATATTGTTAATTTCCCGCAGTTTGAGGTTTAAATGATACCATAATATAATTTCTTGAATTTTGTATTAGTTTTAAATTAGACCAAAGAGCATGGAGTGGCGAAACCCACAAACCATCTCGAGTACTTATAGTAATTTTCAAAAATCTACCTCCACGCTTCTCATAGAGAGTAAGATATAAATTTCTGGAAATTCAGAAATAACAATAGAACATAGAAAAGAATCGCACAATCAAATAAGATTAATAATACTGCGGGCATATATAATTATAGCCCTAAAGTTTTGTCAAACTTCAGTGTTACACCCAAACACCTCTAAAATTTTGTCTGGATAACACCAGGAATTCCCAATTTAACTTGTGTTTGTCAACTAATAATAGGATCTTATCCCTTGTCGTACTCCTTCCCTTGAATCAACTCCAATTCCTCCTGAAATTCTGAAGCCTTTCCTACTTTTGACGTAAAAATTAAAATTATTTTTAGTAAAAAAATTTTGAGTTGTGATTATAATTACTTTAAGAATTGGCACATTTTAATTATAATCACTTGAATGATGTGTGTTACAATGAAGAGACTGAATCAACATACTTAGAATGAAATTGAAATATTACATTTATTCATTCTGTGAAAATAATACTCATATCCGAAGGTCATTTTGGGAATAAAATATTATGGATATGTAATATTTGTAAGTTAATGAATGGAATCAGAGATGAAAATTTGATTAAAAATAGAGGAACTGTGATGAAGATTAATTTCAGTAGTACAGACATTTGCAGCAGAATGACATAAATTGCATAGTAGCCGCATGTTACAGGGAACTGGGGGGTCCAAAACTCATGAAATTCATAATTAAAAAATACTTGTTTTTGTTTCCCACTAGAATATAATATTAACTATACCACATAAATGTAAAAGGAATTAACAACTAAACAATTTTTCCCATGGCAATCATCATTATCATGATAATGAAAGCATGATTAACATGTATTTTTGAATAAGCATTGGAAGGAGTAGATAAAGAGAGGAAGACTGGGAATAAGATTCTAATAAGATTTACTTTACTTAAAAAAGATTTCATGTTTCAACATTAATGAAAAACAATGTTTCAATAAGCCAATCTGGATAGCAGGGATCACTAAGCCAGTAGTGTCATGGCATTCTCGAATGGAAGGATCACGGGTTTGAAGCCTACCTCAGGCAAGAGTGTGTTTGTGTGCCTTTGTGTGGTATTCTTGTGTGGTTGTCAAATTCTCCCTACAGTTACCACATATGAAAAATACAATCAACGTGGTCACTACATGACCCAGTAGTTAAAATGCAATAATAAAAAAATTTAAAAAATGTTTCAATAAAAATTACAATGTCTAATATAATTTTAAACCATACACCAACATACTTTTCCTAAATACAACCATAAGTGCTTTAGTGTTATTACTTCTACTGCATTATCAAAAAGGTTCTCAACAATATTCAGAAAATGGTTTGAATTGAATTAGAAGCTAGTATAAATTGGATTAGAAATGAAGATCTGACTTTGTTCTGAAATTTTGTGGTGGTAGTGATTATAGTGATGGTCATGATACTTCAGTCAGCAGTGGTGGTAGCAGTAACTTGCCAGGTATTTGCCTGGTAGATGCAATTTTTGTCCAGATTTCCAAAGTATGCAAAATAATGCACGAAATCTCAAATGTTGGTTCATTTTAAGTAATTTACATTTGTTAGTCATAAAAAAAGGCACTCAGCACTCAAAAAATAATTAAATTAACATTTTTCAGACACAAATGCTGCATTAACACAATTGCATTTGTAGAATCTTGGGTCCAATGCGGCTGAAAAATATATTTTCATCACCGTAAAGTTTTAGAGGTTACACCTATTGTTGTTGTTTTTTACTACCTTTGCTGCTATCCACTTTAAAACTCATTGTATTTGAAAGTTTAAAAATTATTTACTAAATGAAAACATTTGTAACATTCTTCATGATTGTAATATACTTGTAATATACTTCATGATTCTTACTTCATGATATGTTTTCTCTTTTTCGTAATTTTGAATCGATTTTTTTAAAATCACAATTGTAGACTGTGCTTGTTGAAGGGATTCTTTTAGTCGAAGTTCGTTACTTTTTGCTGTTTCCAATGCTGCAGTTCTCTGCATCACATCTGAACTACCCTTGAGTCTTTGCAGTTCCTCCTAAACAGAACAATTACATTCTTTCATGTTAATTGTAATTATAAGAAACATAGTCATATTGTGGAGAATGATTTGATAACATTGTTGAAAATAAAAATCATTAATTCACAAACAAAAATGAAACTCACTTTTAAGTCGTTAATGATCCCGAGATTATTGCTAGTAACATTATTGTAGTAATGTCTTATTTTATCATTAATCTGAGTATGATATTGACCTATTTCATTCACACGAACTTTGTGTCTTTCTTCAGCAGAAGCTAATTCAATACGATGTTGGAGCATTAGCTCAGTACGTATTTTCTGCAGGCGCTGTTCGTATTTCTTTTCTAAATCACGACTCTGGACTTCAAAATTTTTCCTCATATTTGAAATCTCCATTTTGTGCATCTGTTAAATTTTGACATTTAAAAAAAGATTTAATTTCAATTTATAAAAAAGTCAAATTTTAACACTAAATTTAAAGCATTTCATTTTGAAGCAACACTCACAGCTTTAACAATACAGAGTTCAGTTAAATGAACATCCTGAATTTCCTCTAGTTGATATTTGAGTGCATTCTTGTCCTGCAATAGCAACTCTTCACATTTTTTAAAATCATCTTCAGCTTTTTTTAAAGAAACCATGTTTTCTGCCTGAAATAGAATTCATTGGTATAGACTCGTAAAAAGTTTTCAATAAATTTATTTCTCTAGAAATTCTTTAGTATTTGGTGTACAGGAATTCTCATACCACCAATTTCAATGTATTTACTTGTTCCATCAAAGAATTTCTAAATTAAAACCCATCATACACCTATTAAACAAAAGTGGCTTCAAAAGATTTTGAAATATTTATGTAATGTATTGTATTAACATGCAATTATTTTTAGTAACTTTTTTTGGTCAAATATTTAATAAACCTTGCAATAATATTTATTTCAAATAATACATCTCATCCTACCCTTGAAGCAATCATTAGCCAAAAAATTAGAAAGTTATCTTTAAAATTGTTATATGGTATCATCAAAATTATGTTTGGTGACTTTCTTATAATTATTTAAGAATTGTAATTTGTCTGCTTACCTTTAATTCAGCTATGTTATTTTGGTGTTCATATTCCAAATGTTTTACTTTCTGCTCAAAGACTTTTATTTCAGTTCGATGTCGCTTATCATCATCTTGAATAAACTGGTCTTTATTCCTGAATAAAAATTTGGCATATATTAAGATAAAAACATTCATTTTACTTGCATTATTTTTTTTATTTACCTTAACTCGGCTTTTGCCTCCTCAAGTTGCTGACGACAAACTTCCCAAAAGGTTTTTAATTTATCTCTTTCTAATTGAAAAAAATTTCTCTCCTCACGCTCTCTTTCCACCTCTTCACGAAGCCGATTGGCAAAAATTTCCAATTGATCTCGTGACATTTCTGTTGTAGACACTCCATCAATGATGTAACCTGAGCCTCCACTTTTCCCTCCAGACTTCTTCTTTGGTGGCTGTGAGTCAAAAATCAAATAAGATAATTGATCAATGTTTAAAATGACAAACAGTACTATATTAAAAAATCTTCCTACAGCCCAAGCATGGTTTTTGCATCCCTTCAATTTTTATTCCCAATCAACTGACAAATTCATCAACTATGTTCATTACACCTGCAAAACCAGCTCTCTGCTTTTTTTTTTTTTTAAATTATTATTATTAGTTATGTACACTCGAAGGAACAAGAAACTACTTAGAATTGGTTCCTTTATGGCCCCTTTATCACTCTTTAATTGGAAAGAATGTTCGTGACTTGGAGAAGCAAAAATGCTGCTGAACAAAACCACACAAAATGGTTTTCTGAAAAGGGACACACAGACACATATTCCATAAGAACAACTAATATAATACTCCTGGATAACTCTGCAATCAATTAAATATTTTAAAGAAAACAGTCACAAATACTGCAATATCATACAGTAGTATCCATACTGTACAAAAGAATTTTACTGAACAAGAATATATAAAAGCTACTGTTCAGTAATACATGTGAATAGCAAATATTATGTGGCAAGCGACCCCTTCTTTGCAGCCTTGCTATTACATGACAGCTGTTGAATGCAATAAAACAATAAAATATTTCCATTTTGCTGTGAAAATAGATGCTGTTTTATTGATTTTGGATTTTTCCCAAGTTCCTAGATATTTGATGAAATCATAGACACACACCTCACATTGCTGCAGGCTGCATAGTTTTCCATCAAGCTATGACTATGACTATAACTATTACAACAATACAAAATTCCTAAAACTCTCTAATTGTGATAAAAAATTATACTTAAAATTAGTAATAAGAAATATAATGGTGTCTTAGCATTTTCATATGGCCATTTTTACAGATGCAATGACAATATGTATGAGTATACACCACCAACTACAAGAAATTTCACCAATGGTAATTACAGAAAAAATTCATTTCTTACAGAATCTTCAATCATTTTCAATGAAATTATTTTCCTAGTTACTTTTTTTTTAATAAAACTTGCTATAAATGTTTTAGTAATACAAACTCTCTCCTTTTAAAATACTTTTCTAATCCCTTTTGTACTTAAATCATTGTATCAATAAAATTGGAGAATTAATAGTCAATAAACTTGCCACACACAATAAAATGGAATAAATTCTTACAAATATTAATTATGAGGGCAAGATTTCACTAATATGTTGATTATTTAAGTATTTTCATATTGTTTTTAATCACTAATCTAGAGTATAAATATTTTTGCAATTCTTATTTTAATTGAGAAAAGAAATTGATATCCTCCTATATTTGACAGATGTAGTAATTAATTGTACCTTCAAGTAATTGTTTGAATATTTCCTACTATTACTTTCTTAAATTTTTAGTTAACTTTGCAGATCTTTGAAGATTAATAACACCATACTAATTTCTGACATGAGTATTTACTTTGGCCATGAATTTTATATCCTAAATATGGAAATGAATGAATAACAGCAAAAGTTACAATCAGAAAAATTGGAACAGAAATAAGTCGGTGCTAATTAATTATGCACAAGAATGATTTTCTTCATTATAAATGTACAACAGAATTAGCTGATATTTTTAGTTTATCTTACATAGAAATACATACAACCTATCATTTATAAGACAAAACAATTGAATAATTGGAAATTATAATATTTTCCTTTCTTTAGAATTTGGTTCCAGTAAATTAAAAAGTTTTGAAAGTGGTTAACTAATCATTCAATTTTTATTAACTATTATTATCTAAAAACATTATTAATGGAATTCATTTGCAAGTTTTTACAGCAGATAATGTAAGTATCTAACTGCCAACAAAATCTTACATATTGCATACCATTATTCATGGTAATTCTCAATATATTTTTTAAATTCTCAATAAGGGAAATATTACTGCAAATTTTAATACTGACCATGATAAAAGTTAATTAATTTTTTGTGAATGGTTAAAAACACGAAGAAATTAAACAATTGAAATTTCTTCAAAACAAAATAAATATCGTGCAAACAGCGTGCAGCCCTTGTAATACTATCAGTGTGCAACTATGAGCTGCTGGAAAGCGCATGTTTCTTATGTTTGATCTCGAATTCACGGTTGCTATAGCAACGAGAACAGCTGAACGCGTCTGAACGTTTCATCTGTTTGTATCGATAAGCTGAGGAATTATGATGACATGCAATATAAATTATGATGACAATATTGCAATTTTCAGAAATTGAACCAATTCATAATTTTTCAGATTTCTGCAATTGATTCTTGGGCATGTAAGCTGTATAGATTTATAAAATCATTTATCAACAATTCTTCATTTTTCAAATCATTCGATCCTGGTCAGATGTTCGCTTTCACCTCTAGGGCAAGACGGGACGGCACAAAATGGCGTTTTGTGCCAGATGTTGAGAAACACGTTATAATATTAGCCATCTACATTTTCCCACGCTAATACACTTTTCATTTTCTTCGATGGTACGTTGCTACTATTGATGAAATACCAAGTGCAAACTTAACGATGGAGCGCAATAGGTAACTAGACTACAAAGGGTATGTTGATAAACCAAGTTTTGTCATAGCATTCATTTTTATAATAGTGAAAGTGTGATGAAAGAAGTTGGATTTCATATTTGTTTTTGTGTGCTTTTCAGTTCTTGCAATTCAGTGTGATGAACTGTTACTACGATTGTAGGTGAGATGTCATGTTTTCCGCTGCGGTAGTTTTATTTTTTTATTGATTATTACAATGAAGTATTAATTGACTCGTTTTATTTATAGTTTCGTGTTGAAGTGCACATGTGGAACGAGGTCCCTCAACTTGCTTTCAAGAAATGAACAAGAATAAAATAATGTAACATGTTTAATAACCTTGCAAGTTGTCATACATATCCTGATCAGAGAAATTGCATCTTGCAACATGGCACTTACAGATGATAAGGGTTAAATTGAACACAATGGAGTCATCTCAGTTTATAAAGACTATTGAATGGGATATGATGGACAAGAGCAAATTCTTTCCACTAAGCATGCTCAGTTCATTTTCTGTCCGATGTTTCTTATACCCTCTAACTGTGATAAAAACTAGGTTGCAAGTGCAGAGACATGATCAAATGTACAAAGGTGTGTGATTGAAATTATTTTGTTGGTAAAATATCATAAATAAGTATTAATTTTTTTGACACCTGCTAGGTTTGTTTGATGCATACTTCAAGATATATCGTTATGAAGGTGTTCCTGGTTTGTATCGAGGGTTCTGGATCAGCTCATTCCAAATAGTATCTGGTGTATTTTATATTTCAACGTACGAAGGTGTTCGACATTTTTTGAGTCAAAATAATTCAGATTTAAAATTGAAAGCTCTGGTGGCAGGAGGCTGTGCATCAGTTGTTGGCCAGACTATTATTGTGCCATTTGATGTGCTGAGTCAGCATTTAATGGTTCTTGGTGTTGTTGACCGAAGTAGTAACAAGAAGGTAGATTTTATTTAATTGTGGAAATATTTTATTCAAGTTAATTTTGGAATGTACCTTGGAATTTTTTTTTCTTTTCAGGTTGTTATGAATCCTTTGGGAGTATCTCTAAATCCAGCTCGATCACGTCTTGCCACTACTGTTGATATTATAAAACAAATATATGTTTGTGATGGCCTGCGAGGATTTTACAGAGGTTACATGGCCTCGTTGTTCACATATGTTCCCAACAGTGCTATGTGGTGGGGATTTTATCAGCTTTATCAGGGTGAGAAACTGTGATAAATATTAGTATTTATTAACTTCGGTCTCTTGGTCTCTTATATTTATTTTTAATCACCTGATAATTGATAATGGTACATATATGCAATGTGTGAATTTGGTAGGAGCACATGTATTTTTGTCAAGTATTCTCTTTAATTGGTATTCTGATATTTTAATTTTGATCTTAGTACATATTAGACAGTTGAGTCATCAGGCTGGTATTCTTCAATGTTCAAACTGTGTTTTTGTTACCTCCATACTTGCTCCCAGTGCAAGTGACCAAAACTGATAAGCTTTCTCCCCAAGAAAATGTTAATTGTCCTGGGTATTGTGAGAGTGTTATCAGTAATAGTTATTTGTTAATGTGACACAGGTGATCAATAATGATTGCAATAAAATTGAATGGTAACAATGTGAGTGGATTTACCTTATTTTATTTTCTGTGTAGCTGTATGGTTATGTCCATGAAAAATTTAATGTTAATTTATATTATATAATTTATTATTATATTTTTGTTGTGAAGTGTTAGTATTTCTATGGCAAGAATGATGAAACATGAATTATATTAGTTCTTTATTGTGTTTCTCAGTGAATTTATGAAAAATTGACATTATTTGATCAACTCGCATAGTTCTTGTTGTTGAGTGTGGTTATTTTATCTTATTTTTTGGTTAGTGAATGCATTTATTCAATACAGTAAATGGATTGTGCAATTAAGGTCTTATTTTATGCATAGTACTGTTGATGTTCGTAAAGTGTCAGTACTAATGTTGGTACAAAGAGAGATAACTATAATTTCTCCCTAAGGATTAAGTAGCTTTTTTTCTTCTTGTTTTACCTAGTCCTTTTGTATTCACTATAAAGTACTTTTGAACAAAATATCTTGGATCTTATTAACTATTTTATGTGACATCAGATATGGAGAGGATGTATTCAAAGCTATTGGCACATTTTTCCATTGTAATGGAACATTTTCTCAGTTCAAGGCAACTGTTTTTATTAATATGTCTTGTGTGTGATCACAAGTGAAATTGTGGTAATGATTTGTATGGGAAAGGAAGCAACGATAATTTCAGGAGGGAAAAGGGAGATTTGCAGATATGATCATTATTAGGGGGTATTGTAGTAGGTTATATTGTATTATTGCTCTAGATAAGTGGTTTTTGTATAGAAACTTTTGATAATAATTTTCCAAACTGCCAACTTTTGTTCATATCATTGAAGATTTAAAGTACTATTCTTTCATTGCAAGTCTAAACGCTGGCATTATGTGTTAGGTTAATAAGTAATTGTTGGTATGGACATTCCTTGAAGAAAAAATGATAATAATTTTAGTACTTCAGGAGAGTCCTTTTGATAACAAAAGTTTTTAAAAAAATTTACTTAAGCATACTGCAGATGGAATTGATTCTTACTTGCTATCTCTGAATGTTTTGATGTGTTAATAACAATATCAAATTGTCATTAAAGATGCCTTAAAAAAAATTTCTGTTGAATTCTAAGATTTTTCAACGTTTTATGTGCCAAAGAAGAATGTTTGGTAATTATTTGTTTTGATTTCAGATCATCTGCACAATATTTTACCAGTATGGGTATCCCATCTGTTGATCCAGTGTATTGCTGGTACTTTGGGTGGATTCACCACAACTTTATTTACGAACCCATTGGATATTATTCGTGCTCGCTTACAGGTATTTTTTGTTTATGAGTTACTTAATACAATTATTACATGCAATGATCTTAAACTTCAAATATTTTTATTATGTTCAGACCTTTTAATTTTTTAATATTAACAAAATTACATTTTAATATACAGTAAAACTTCTTATATATTTTTCAAGGGACTGAAGGGAAAAAATGTAGAATTGAGAAAAACACTTAACTGAAACCACTCTCCCTAACAACTATTAAAAATGTTATTTTGTCTATTATTGAAAGGGGTTGCCTTTTCCAACCACACTTTTTCGTTAGAATGGACACGCAATGAGGAATTGTCTGATGACCTTATGTGAAACAGTCGAAACATTTGCATGGGTTAGAACTGGCAGTGGCTGGCTGCTTCGATTTCAAGCTTGATGTTACTTGAGATTGCGCTAGTCAAAGCACAGTGTTCTACGTAGGTGACATGAAGCACACAACTGCCATGCTGTGTGGAAAGAGATCAGTTTCATTAGCCACTTGTGCCATGCTGCTACTGGAAGGATCTCATAAGCTATTACGGCAAGCATAAGGGTCTTCGGAGAGTGCGACAGTCGGTGCACAAACTTCCTCACTTACTGGTAATCTGAGATGTTACTCTCTCCCTGGGACGCCTATGACCTTCCCTTGGAGCTAGCTGCTGCCTCCTGAGATCCAAAGAGAGCTCCCATACACATCCATCTAAAATTTTTCGATGTTCCGCTGCCGGTGGGGGTAGGGGAGCTGACTGCGCTACCATCCCACAGGCTTGGACCTCTCAGCTAGGCCAAGTCAAGCTTCTATATTACAAGTTTCATTAGCAGGAAGTCGCCTCAGAGGCTGTCCCGGTCACTCCACAGGTGTGCTCTGGACCATGCCAACTCGAGTAACATATTCCAGGCTCTCAGCACAGGTCATCCTTTGCTTCATTGGGATCATTTGTATGTTATACGATCTTAGACTTTCATTATGATTGTATAAGTGTGAAAAAGGTATAAATGTAAAACGCATAACTGAAATAATTTAGCATGGGAATTATAGGAATTTATCTGGGACTTACAAAAACTGTACACTACAAGTAACTGTATACTACAGGTTGGAGTTGTGATATGCCTCAGAATATTTGTCCACCTTAAGTGTCCCTCTTTGAAAATGGCTTCAATGTAGGAAATGTTACCATATGAAAGAAATACTTTCCACCACTTGGCATATTTATATAATTTTGAAAATTCACAATGATATATATTGATATGAAATTATATACTTTGTGTATTATTTGTGAATGATTAATGAAGTTGTATGTAAAATTTAAATGCATCAGAATATTATACTTCAGTGTTTGAAGAAACAGTCTCTTATCATTGTGTTCTACATTACATATGTATCATAGTTTCCAAATTTTAAATACTATAGTCTTATTATTTTTTCCATCCAAATGATAGATATTCCAAGAGATCACAAAGGGTTCTTACTGAATTGTGTATTAACTTCATCAAAAATAAATTATTTAAGAAAAAGTTGAATAGCCAGCTTTGAGGAATACGATGATACAATTGCAGCTTTCTTAAATTTTAATTATCGAGTAGAATGAAGGATATTGGTTTACTGAATATCTAAATCAAATTTGAAAAAAAGAAAGATACTTATAATTTCTTATGTCTAATAATTATTTGTAATTCAAGAGATTTAAGTAGAGTTTTATTTATTTACAAGGGAGAAAGTTGCTGAGTGCAAATAGCACACTAGCTAGTTGTGCCTTTCGATAGGCTTCAGAGAGTGTAAGATTGGTTGGTTTTGTTTGGGGATTTTAGATATGGTGTATGTGATGGTTTACTTACTTTCTGATGAAGATCTTTTCCTTCAAATATATTGCACAAGAATAATTTCCTTCTCAAAATTGTTGCATGGAAAATCTAAAACACTTGTATGAAGAATATTAAACATGTAAATAGATGAATGATGAGAGAGTGTGTTCCAAATGGGCTGAAGAGAAAACAACATATTTGCTATGATATTTCACTTTTGACATGTGCTACTCCTTATATGTAAATAGTGACATCACAGTGTGTTCCCCTCCAGAATATTAATCATTAGATACCTTCGTACAGTTGAATGTCTCAAATGAAAAGGTGATGGCTCTTTGTTAGAGAATATTAATAGTACAAGATACTATAAAATTCACTGCAATTTTTGTTAACATAACTGTTTGCTAATATCTGGGGGAGGGGGGAGAAAGGTGTTGCATATTATTATTTCTTAAACAAAGGCAATGGATAAGATTTTTATTTCCCTGTAATCACTAATTGGAAATTCGTAATAGAGCATTATTTAGCTTTTGTATGTGTATCACGTGTAATTTGAACAATAAAAATATATTAAGAAGTGGAAAAATTTAATGTATGCCAGTTTTCAGTAATCTATATCTATTATATTTATTTTTGTACTTTTCTATTGATCGGAATAAGGACTGAATTTTGTGGTTTTTAGGATCAGCAGTCTAACAAATCTTGCGAGTTATGAGAATGAATTTTAAAAACATTATTGCTTAAATTTCACTTGACCTTTCCTTATCCTCTATTTGCGTCTTCAGTTTTGCACCTTTTTCAATGCAATCAGATTTGTTAGCTTGATGCATAACATACTTTTTGCCAAATTCATATATAATTCCATATTTCTATTTATTTTCAGGTACAGAGGCTGGACTCCATTCACCAGACATTCAATATTCTGTGGGCAGAAGAGCGCATGAGAATATTTACAAAAGGTCTTTCAGCTCGTTTGGTGCAGTCAGCATGTTTTAGCTTTGCTATTATTCTAGGTTATGAAAGTATTAAGAGAGTGAGTGTGAATGAAGAATATAAAAAGCACATTCGCTGGTAGCCTATTTCAAAAGTTTTCACACACGACCTTTGTATAGTTGCCATCTAATCTGAAACAAGAGAAAAGTAGTGTAACAAGAAAGAATAAATTTGAAATTGTTAACATTCATGAAAAAAAAAATTCCTGTTGGGATATATAGAAAAAAGTTAAGTTTTATCCCTTATTGTTACGAATCTACTCCGATGTCGTGAGTTCGGTGAGCGAAAATGAAGCACAAGTGGTGGGAAGGCCATTCTGTTTACATAGTTTGAATAACAATTGAAAATTATTTATTGCACTGGCTCAAGAATGTTTAATATAATCACAAAGGTCAACAAGCTCAGTGTTCAGCGAAAAAAAAACTTTGGTGCAAAATGCTCAAGAATGTTTAATGTTGATTGCGAAGGCCGGATCCTCACTGTGTTAACTGGATACATCTACTGAAACATCATTGCGCTTCTTATGTTTAAATTGATAAATTCAAAGCCATTCTGCTTGCGCAGGCGCGGCGTGGTGGTGGTGGTGGTGATGTCGTTAGGTGTGTTCTTGTGGATGTGAGCTGATTCTCTCGTTACAGTAAGGGATAAGAGACAAAGGAAGTTTTTAATAAAACTTAAACTATTTGTAATTGTACTGTATTTTCAGCATCACTATATACACATAACAATTCTGGTGTGACAATACATAAAATATAGATATTGAATTAGAAAATCATTCAGACTTAAAGAATAATGCATAGCACATTATTTAGTTGGCAGGCATATTATTACTTTCTATGTTCATGTTTCTGACCTTGTTACAGGACAAAAATCAGTATTAGTTGTATAAAAGTAGTAATTGCATTTTCATATACCTGAATTCCAGCTTGTCACTTGTGTCTCTTAGTAAAGATAATTACCGTATTTATCTGAATATAAGACAAAAGTTATTTCCTAAATATCTAATTGATTGTACCTTATTCGCAGATTAAGCTTATATGGTGAGGCTCTACATTTTATATTCCTGTAAAGTGGGACAACTTAGTCAGCCAGGTTAACTTCTTAAATGTATAGAATGGGTCTATACATAATTCATTTAATAAGTTTTACACGGAGAAGTACTTTAATAATAAAAATTCTATTAAAATAAAAAATCCAATTAAAATTTTTAAAATTTGACTTAAAATTAAAAACTGCACTTTTCAGGTTTTAAAATGTTTTTCCCCACTGCACTTAATGCGAATGTTCAAGATAATTTTATAATTTAAAATATCACTTTTCCTTGTTTTTTGTGGTTTATACTTGGTCTTGACATAGTTGGCAAAGTAGCCCCATTTCTGAGGTGGTTTTTATGTTTTGTAATTATGATATGTTATGTAACAGAAAATTGTACTCTAGTTGTAATTTTCCTAGAAATTGTGAAATTAGAGAACAAGGCTAATTGTTTGAAATGGTTATATACATTATTATTTGACAAAACGGTTAAAGAAAGGACAAAAAGTGGCAAAGTTGCCCCCATTTACAGTACCTTTGTAAAGAATGAAAGTTATTGCTGTTATTGTTACATGCTATTCAATGAGGCCAAGGACCAAAGTGGCCATGCCAAACTGTTGGATGTCCGGTGAGTGCAAGGAGATAGTTTTGCAATAGATAGAATTAATAAAATTCATCTTGATGGCAGTACCCATTCCATGTTCAACTACTGACATGCAATAATTAAAAAATAATTTTTCTTAGCAAAAAAATCCCAGAAGTTGGAAATTTTCTTGCACTCCCCATGCTAAATGCGGAACAGGTGTAGAGAGATGAACGAGTTTGCAATTCACAACTTGATCTCACGAATAATAAACGATGTGAATGTCAAGTTAATGATTGCTGAACAAGAGGATGCCACAACCAAGAGTGCCAAACGAAAATCTGGAGACACAGAGGAACTGTTCATACTAGGTGTGACATTTGAGACATCGCATATTCAAGGCGCAAAACTTTTTTGAAGGGGAGGGGATGATGACCTAGGAGTACCAGAAAGATATGACACATGTGAAGATGAATATGGTAGTGACAAAAATGTGTATTGTAATTGTAATTTAAGCAACCAGAAAATAGTGACAACTCAGGCAAAAAGATTTAATATTAGAAGACAATTTGTGATTTTCATTTAGACTCGGAGAAAATTAATTCAAAATGAAAATAACAAAAAAAATATTCTGGAGGCCTCGACAAAATTAGGGGGTCATCTTATATTCGGGTAAATACGATAATTATTAATGGATTTTCTATTAAAATCAGATTTCTGGCCAACGCTTCTATGTATCTGAAACAAATGGTCACAGCTAGTTTTAAATCAGAAATGAATGTTTTAATTGGAAAAGTTACCATGTTTTTGAACTTTCAGTGTATCAATCCATTAGTGTAGTATATTAGTGGGCTGAGAACAAATATAGAATTTTGGAGCAAACTAATACAAAGAGAATTACAGTTACCTTCCTGTGCATGTGGTGCTAGTGATAAAAATTTAGTGTGTTTGTGGAATACTGTAAATAATTGTGAGAAATGTAAAAGTTTGATTTGCTTCTCAGAGGTAAGCTAAGAGTCTCCAGATCATTGGTGTATTAAAAATTTATAAGCAAAATGATTTGTCATGGTACCTGTGGGAATAAACAGGTGATGCTTATTTTATGTAGATGACAGCAGGTATGTCATTTGAAAAGAGAGAATATGGGACAATGTAATTATTATTTTACTGTGCAATTTGCCTGTTGTAAATAGTGAACACAGTAGCTAATGAATTCTCTTGTTATTGACTATCCTGTGCAAATCCAATTGTTATATTGATGAAATGAGACCAAATATTATATATACAATAAAATAAAAGTTGTTATTACAATGATTTATGTATGTATTGTACAAATTAAATATTGCATTACAGAGCTTTCACTATGACTACTTGCGAGAGTAACATCAGAAATCAACTTAAGTGGTTCCTAAGATATTTTATGTTCTCTAAACATTCATGTTTCTTGACTCTCTCTCCAATTTCGGAAGTAGACTATCCAAACTTCATGGTTTCGTTTCTAACAGTACTACAAAATGTTTCAAAAATATTAATTTTGGTGCAATTGCCCAAGTGCAATATCCTTTTTATGACTGGAAAATAGTTCCTTGAAACTAGATTTTTAAGTAACATTGACCTTTTATATGTTTAAAATAGCATAAATTGTTGTCCTGAATTGCATTTAATTTTATAATTTATGAAAATTAATGTTGCAAGAAATATGAAGCAGTTTTGGAGCCTTGGACAGTTGTTGCACACAGCTCACTAGTCATAAAGGGTACAAAATTGTATTGAGATACCCAGATTGCTGTAATAAATTTGAAGTGTGTGATCAGAACCTCATTTGAGAGATTAAATTATATATTGTGTTGGAATTATTTCTTTTCTTAGGTGATCCATGGTATGGGGGCTCCTGTTACCTGGTCGACCTAGGTTGAAATATAAAGATTAATATTCAAGAATTTAGAAAACAAGTAAAAATTGCAATTGCAAAAAAATTGTTTATAAGTGGTTGAAAAGACCATTTTGTGCAAGTTTGTTAATTATTCACAAGTGCGTTAGTGAGTGTATAATTATTAATGAGCAGCATAGTGGTCTTTCAGCAATATGTAATATACAATAATTTAATCTTATCCGATCACCTCCGCAACATTTTGAGCTTATCCTTTTTTACAAGTAGGCATAGTGATGAAAGGTGTTAGTACATTGCTTCGGTGGTATACAAGAGGCCTTGGAAGATGTGACAATCGCTGTCTTGCGAGAAAATGGAAGATATTCCTGAAAGTATCATAAGATAAGCTATGGAAGATTTACTACCCAATAAATCTAAAGATATATATTGTAAAGATTAAGAAACTTTTAAAGAGTGGAGGGGGGAGAGAAATATTAAGAATGTCTGTGATGAATATATTAGCTTATTTTGCTGCGAAGGTAAGTACCAATACTCCATGCATTGCATAATATAAAATGTGTGCAATATACTCTATTTGACAAGAACTATGAATAAATGTATGTTCCTATGTATATTCCTTTGTTCTTCAATGAAATGTTTTTATGTACATATGTCATATTGTTCGGTTTGCTGGCAGCAGTTTTGCTACTGTTTATTGTGGCAATAGATAGGTACTTTGTTACAGGGCTGTAATAAAGAGCCATTTCACAGACTGGATACATGTATGTGTGTGTCTATAATATATAAATATATTGTCTTGCTCTAATTATCAATTGTCATTTGGAATTCAGAACAATAATTCATTCAATGGGTAAGATTAATGTTTATCTGTTATTTGTAATTTCATTGTTTAAATTTCATACAGTTAATGACTTATTCTAAAATATTTATTACAAAGCATCATACATGTATCTGTTAGTGCAAGACATTAAAAAAATGTGGCTTATCCCTATTGCATCAAAAATGTAGAAAGAAGATGGTATTGTGAAGTAGGCTTACTCACTTAAAAGTTGACAAATTATACTCATTAAAAAACAAAACGTCCCAATTGTTTCCTCACAGGCCATTGATAAATATTGAGACGGTAGATAGCATAAGAGAAACTTAGAATAGTTCGTTGTAGCATATAAATTGTCCCCAAATACATGGGTAAACAACTTACTCCGTGACTAGGAAACTGTCAATACAGTTTTAATGTTTTCATTGGAATGACAATTTTTGTCTCGGCTCTGTACAAATGTAGGTAAGCCAAGAACGAAACTGCTTGTTTTGGCGCAAAACGAGCCAAATGAAATAGTTGTTAAAATTATTACTCTGAATTTTTTTTATTTATTTATTTATTTTTTTTTTGTTAAAAGGAGTACATTAGAGCATTTTTCGTAAATCGAAAGTTTTATGTATTTCACATTTAAACTGTAGGCGTTTGCGAATTAAATTTGCGTAAATGATAAATTACTTCGTTTTGATTTCATTGTCACACGTATCAGCTGTAAAGCATGTATTTCAAAATTGTGCAATTCAGAAGCTGCTCGTAGAGTCGTCTTACAGACATTGGCGTTGGTGAAGGCGTCATATTTAACTCACGGCGTGAATTCAATTCTCGAGGCCAGAGGCTACTACGACAGCTGGCAACAAGGGCACGTTGAACGCACAGTCCGAAGATTCAAGGCCATAGACAGAGATCACGCCTAGTCATCGTAGTTTATGTGATCTTCGTTATCTTTCGAGGAGGAATTGCAGTGAAACACTAAGTACCTGGCCGTTGAGGAGAGAGGTCTCTCTCAAAGAACACGCAAGGTAAATGTTACGTAAGAATACAAGATTTTGAATATTTCTGTTTACTATAGTAATGTTCTGAGCATTGATATATTAATAAATTGGCCGAGTTCACGACCCTTAAAGTGCAATAGAATGATCTACCCCGGTATGACTGTCAACAAGTTGCCGTGGCTTCGATTAGATCGCGGGCGATCACGGTCACTTTCTTATGACCGCGTGTATCCTGTCTTTGCGTTACGTCATTTCGCGCGGTCAGTTTGAACTCCATGAATCTTGGTGAACAGTAGATGTAATGCTTTTGTCATTTATGCTTTCAGTGAATTGTCTTTTACATTAATAAAACAACGTAATTGTTTTATGATTACATAAACGGAAGCATTATTGAGTTGGTAGTTAATGGCGCTCATAAATAAAATATATTTTATTAATAATTTTATGCATAGAATTGTATTTTCTCTAATTTTGTATAGAAAAAAATAGTATTGAATGGAAATGATGGAAGAGCATAGTGTCTTAAACCTTTAGTAATATGATTTTGCATCATCACTCTTGAACAAACCTTCAGATGCTTGGGTATTGCTATTATGTTTATCTCTTATATAATGAATGTAATATGAGTGTGATGAATATAGTGGCAATATTTATAACATATATTGACTATATAATAATAATAATTAATGCAAATTTGTCATAAATTATTTATGTGTGTTTTATCCATCAACATATCTAGATCTAATAGGTCTTTTTAATTTTTATATTTAGAGTAAGAATACCTAAATAATATTTTTGTTGTATGAATTAATACCTGAATAAAATGAAAGAGTTTATTATATCTTTCTTGTTGACAGTGGTTGCAGTTATTTGACATTACAATTATGGCAAAACATATATTGCGAGGACCATCACATAAAGTGGAGATACCAAATTGTTCGTTAGGGGAGTATATGTGGCGCAATATTAGTGCCCATGGAACAAAAATTGCTCAGGTTTGTTTTGCTGCTCACTAGATTCATCTAATTGTGCATAATGGAATCATTCACATCTATGATCTTTATAGTGAATTAAAACCTTAGTCTGTTTCACATTACTAAATCCTACATGCATTTCACAATACAAATGTATGTACTTGTTAATTATGTAAGTGTGTACTATTATATATGCATTGTCAGTGCATCTGAAAGGTGACACATGCCAAAAATGGTCATTTGTTAGTAAATGAAGAAACATGTTTAGAAAATAGTTTTACTAGTACCAATTGCTTAAAGAAAGTTTAAAAGATAGTCATTTAATAGAATTAAATACTTAAACTTAGGCCATAAAATAAATGGCTCTGCGCAGGTTAAAACAGTTGAAAATCCTGCAAAACAGACAATTTTTAAGATGTGTCACTTTTTTGTGCACATCCATTTGCCAACTATTATGAAAGGCAAAACCAAGAAAAGAATAAATAATAGTAAAGTGCAAAATTATTGATACGGAAGGATTTTGTTCTCAGCCCAATATTTAAAATATAATTATTTCAAAGTTGAATTTATTGTACAAAGGCAACCATTAATAGTAATCTGTTGTCATTACATGGGCTTTTTTGTCAGAGAAGTCATAACTATGATTGCATATTGATGACAAATTACTAGATTTTTCTTATCGCAATGTCTTATTGCAATGTAATAAATTTTCGTATGTATGTCATGTTATCACAGGTGGATGCTGTAAGTGGGAAACAAAGAACATATGATGATATCATAAAAGACAGTATTGCTCTTGCTGAAACCATGCGAGGTTGGGGAGTGAAGAAAGGCGATGTAGTGGCTATAATGAGCCCTAATTGCACTGAATTTTGTCTCCCTGTTCTAGCCTCTTTATATTTAGGAGCGACACTTGCTCCTTTGAATCCAACATATACACCAAGTATATCTATTTTATTAAATATTTCTTAATGTTGAACTACTGCATATTAGTTTTTAAGGCTATATTCAATAATAATGAAAATGAAACTAGAGCATCAGCTTGTAAGAGTAACTAAGTTGATTTTGCTTAGAGGAAGGTCAAGAGAAAATATCAATAATATAATAATTCAAAAGAGCAATATGAAATAATTATCAAATACTAATATCTAACAGAACGTGATTTTTTGCCATTGAGAGATTGTTCCTGTCCATAAAGTACTGGCCTGGAAACTAAAAGACTAAATTTCAAGAACAAATATCAGAAGAAAGTCATTCACATCAATGAATGATATTGTTGTATTATGCAATACAACTGATGCTGGTTCAAAAACTATGTGTCAAGTCTGAAATATGCTTCTAAGCCACCAACCCGTTTTGTATAATATGAACATTAATTAGCTAATTTGTGAATTAGCTGGTTAGTGTTCGCAGATTCAGACATTTACCGTAATGTACTTTGTATATACTGTTATATGAGAATGTAAAATTAAATTGTCAAATACTGGTCACTTTTTAGGGATTTGAGATTACAACCTTGGATTGGAGTGGGGTTTTTTAATATAGGTGTCCAACCTATATAATAATAGGTACACAACCTCTAAAAATCTGTGATAATCCAAAAAAGTAAGATCTTTAGATAAGTAGTTGCTTTAGTTTTTAATGCTTGATAATTCTAAAAACACCATTACTGTAATGCAGAAAATGTCACTAGATGAAGCGAGTGACAGTTCCTGTTAATATGACATCAGAATGTCCAAGAAAAGGTTTCAAACGCTGTTTTCTCAAAACTGTTTTCTGTGTTATGACAGTTTTTTAGAGGGTATCCAATATAAAGTTTTTAATACCTACCTGAGTAGCCAGTATTGCTGAATTGGGAGTGTCCTAATCACTCTGAGTTTGAAGGATCATGGGTTCAAGTCCTACTTTGGTTAAGGTGTTTGTGCTTGTCCATTCATCTTTCATAATCATCCTTGCTTATCCCATAATTCACCTCATACGCTTACAGATGATATTGTGGAAATAGGACTACAAGCTATTTTCCCCCTTGAGTATTTGTGAGTACCTGCCAATTGTGATTGGGGAAATTATGTCTGGGTCTCAGCACCATGGGGGTATCAGAGGCATGTGGAACAAATGTGGCAAAAAAAAGTTAAAGATTAACTTGTAATAATTGTCAAATTACTTTCAGTTTGCATGTAAAATATTGGTTTATTGATGAGATATTGTTGGTGTACCAAATATTTGAATAATAGGCATTGTTTTCACTCACAATTTTTATTTATTAGTATAATAGCAGTTTTCAATGGCCATCGCAATCAGATTTGTTGTCTAGAAATATGATAAATTAATCTGAACTAAAAGATAGTGAAAGTTATGGGTTCCATAAAGCAGGTCTTATGATTATGGTTAAGCTTTCAAAAACTGCTATTGTAATAAATAAAAATGTGAGTAATGACAACATATTTTATTAAAATCTTCTGTGTAAAAGGTTTTCTAATGCCAGTAATCTTGCATTTCAGGAGAATTGCAGCATGCAATGTCTATATCAAAACCATCTATGCTATTCTGCCATCCTTTGATACTTCCAAAAGTACCTCATGTTTTGGCAGCAGTTAGCTTTGTGAAGAAAGTTGTAGTATTTGGTGATAGAAACCATGATTATATTAAATTTTCTGACTGTATTGATAATCCAAAATCCTATGTATTCAACTGTGTGCAAGTTGATCCCAGAAAAGACTTATCTGCAATATTATGCTCTAGTGGAACTACTGGACTTCCAAAAGGAGTTATGATTAATCACAGAAGTATTATTGCAACTATTGAAATGATGCGGTAAGTCTTGTTTGTAATGCACAATATTTAGATATTGCTCCTACACTGATAATGGTTATTTTACTTGTTTCATTTTCTTAAGGAACACCTTTTTGATAAGTCTAGTGAAATAATTTTCAATTCTTTTTTCTTAAGCATTTCAAATATCTAGGCTCGTAGGATTAAGATCATAGACAACCCGGCGTATATGCAAGGGGTTTTGTTACAAAATTTCTGACTGCTTTACTCTCAAGGACTTCATTAAGCAATTTGCAGGCTATAGCCTCCACCCTTCTGCTCGCCTCCATTTGCAGCCACGCAGTCCTTTAAACCCACATCCACTGCAGCCCTGAGGTAGGCCAACATGCATGTCTACATGTGAATTTACCCTCGCATCATCCTGCTTCCATCCAACCTTCTCCTACCAACGATTTCATCACATGATTTCCCCTGACGGTGTCACAAGCTGGCCTGTTGCTTCACAAGCTGGCCTGTTGCCAAGACCCTCCCTTGATGGCACCTCCTCCCGCGCTGTGACTATACTAGTAGAGGTTTTATCTGAAAGAGCCCTACCTTAATTTTTATAATGCTATAAAATACTATAGCCTTGTTTTCAAAATGGGATTTTTTAAAATTTAAAGTGCAAAATTCTACCATGAAGTACTAATCTTACACAATAAAAATTATTTTTATTTTGGAAGATTACATCTTTGTACCCAACCATATGTATTGCCTCAATATTTTGTGGTAACCACCGACTTTTTAGAAACATAATATTTAACACGCGGGGTGCGAAATATATTTCGCACAACCTTTGCGGTGTTTCACGCAAGCTTCGTAATGTTCACACTATTAGAATGAAAAAATAGCTGTTCCGCACCAGAAAAACAGGCTCGAGAATCTTGCATCGCGCATCAGAGTTAAAAATAGTAGGATGCGCGAGGTGATCGAGCTTGATACTTAACTTACAATTTTTGTAACAGGAGGAAACAAAATTGTATCGGTTTCTAAAAGTTTTATCGAGAACAAGAGAAATGCATGTTAGAAATGTAGGATGCGCGAAATAGTTACATGAGCGCGAGGTGAATCTCGCACTTGATACTTAACTCACATTTTTGGTAACGAGGAAACAGAAGTGTATCAGATTTCTAAAAGTTTTACCAAGAACAAGACAAATGTGAGTTAGAAATAGTAGGATGTGCGAAATAGTAACATGAGCGCCAGGTGAAACGCGCACTTGATACTTAACTTACATTTTTTGTAACAGGAAACAACATTGTATCATTTTTTTAAAAAGCTTTACCGATAACAAGGGAAATGTGTGTTGTTAATATATTCATAACTTTAATTATTGTTCTTTTAATTGAGAGAATTGCTTCTAACGAATTAAATTTCAAAAAGAGAGAATCGTCAAGCAACTGAAGTAATCCGAAGTTGCTAGGGCTTTTGTTGATAACAATTATCTGATGGAGAAAAGGAATTAATTCTATGAATAGAATGTGTACAATGGAAATAATTGTATATACATCCATTCCCCCTCCCCCACACTCTCGTTCTACTTACTAATATAGAACTGAATGGTCTCGTAGCGTGTATCACTAGTTTCCTCGTATTATAATTGTAGGATATTAGTCGGCGTGCGTTGTAAATGCTCTCCATCTCTCAAAGTTTATGTAACGTAGGACAGATACAAACCGCAATTTTATGAACACGTCACTTCACACTCGTCATCATTCGTTAAAGAAATATAAATAGTTATATTTAAAAAATCTCATTTCTGTCGATATCTCTGCAATAAAAAGTTTAAAGGATAATATTAAAGAGCCTATATGCCACTCGCATCACAATAATAGTTTTAGTGAAAACTGCATTTCAGTATCTGCAACGATTCAGGAAATATTTTGTGAGAAATCTTAGTTGAGCCATCTCTACTTCCATAGGTAACCCAGAATACATATCACAAACTGGTAGGGAAGGTAGAGAGTGTGATAATAATAAGTTTGCCAATGAACTTGTTTGACGTGTGTCATTTGACCTTGGTTAGTGTTTCGCTATGCATTCATGTTTCGCGGGTCATGTGGTGACACGTCGGATTTCGTTTACATGTCCAAAAGATTGTGTTTGTAGTGAGTCGAAGCTCTGATTTGTCTAAATATTGCCGAAGAAAAGTAATTTTTTTCGGGTACAACACCTTTAGGCGCTCAGAAACTTAGCCCGTCAGCCATCTGTGACAATTGCAGTACATTCGCTTTTCACAAATGTCGCTAATGATCTTCTTGAGTCTATAACGTCTTGAGTCTTGGAAATGCACACGAAGTTGCGTCGAAAGCGAAAAATTACAACAACAAAAAATTGTTTTCAGCAATGTATTCCTCTGGAAAGAAAATGCTTATTGCTGTTAAAGAAATTACTCATTGCTATTTTTTACCTTTTTTATTTTATTTATTACCCTAAAAAACTCTTGTATACATCTTATATGCAGATGATTCAAAACCGCTTTTGGGCCTCTGAAGGTGGCCGCGTCGTTGTATGGTATATGTCGTGTACGATATTATGTTCTTGCAAAATCGTAAGCGCTCTCGCAACGGCAAAGATTGATGTCGTGCCCAATGGTGATAAAACTTAAGATACACAGTAACGGGCGAAAGTTGATTGTCGCGACTGTGTGTCGCACTGTTTCATAATTCTTTCCGCATTTTCGTTCGTGCATCACAAATTAAACTTCATACAATCATACAAGTACAGTCGACTCTGGTTATAGTACCTCGGCTATATACCTTCATTATGTGTATGTATATATATATATATATATATATATATCCATCCACAAATTCCAACACTATACAGCTTGTAAACAATATCGTCAGCCAAAGTTCACCATCGAAGAAGACTCTCCTGAGATGGAGGTAGCGCACTCAGAATGGGAACCTTCCTGATGACCTCGAGCCATTACGTTTCACTGCGGAAACAAAGGCAGTCTTCTTCGTGGGCTACAATTGGCGGCGACGCGCGATACCTTGCTTCAGTTTCAAGCTCGATGCTATACTGCGATTTTCGCAACTCTGCCCCTGGCTGGTATCAGCTGTTGACAGTTCCATCGAATCTGGAGCATGAACGGCATCGTAGTGACGTCACCATGGTGACGTTCACACTCCCAATTGCACGAAACCGTCAACATGTGATTTTGCCAGGGGCAGGGTTGCATAAATCGCAGTTTTCGTGAGATTCCGCGCGTCCAAGCGCGTGGGTTTCCACGTAGACAGGAATCACGGTCAGAGCACAAACGAGGTGCATCCTGGGAGGAAGAAACGTTTGCGGTGCAAACTTATGAGTTAACGTAGTCTTCAGCAGTAATGTCGAAGCGTAAGACGTTTACTTTGCAAGAGAAGCCGACATTATGGGCGAATCAAGTATGGAGAGGGCACGAACTCTAGGGAAGATTCTAGAGAAATTACTACTGAAAAATTGACGCAGCAAACAATTGAAATTAATTTTTAAGGTGAAATAAAGATTTCGAAATTGTCAGTTGGTGCTGTTAATGTATTTTACTGTATCTCTGTATTAATAAAAGCAGTCATTGTAGAAAAATTTTGACATCGGATTTAGTGAACTGATGTAGTCCCCAGAAGTTCACTATAACCGGAGTCGACTGTATGTTACAAATAAAATAGTATTAATGTGGGCACTGCAATTCGTCGTAAAGCAGCGTTTCATAATCATAAGACCGTCCGTATTAGTGTAGTATTTCTCTGATGATTAAAATAACGGTTTTCAAATTTCGTTTCTCAGAGATATTATTATCATTGCCAAAAGTTCTCCCACGCGGTTCCGAAGGCAATGTTGAATCATTTTTGTGCAGTTTGAAAGTACATTCGACTCGGTTGTAATTGAACATGTTTGACAATTAATATATATCAACAAAGAAGCAACACCAATACTACTGATTGCGTAATTAATCGAAATAAAAAGGGTTTGCGAGGAATGCAAAAATGCTTCATAAAGAAACTAATATTTACAAAAATCTGCAACCTTAGATTTATTTAGTCAAAAAACAGTATAAACTGTATGTGACGTATGTGTGAGAAGATTATCTGCACACGTTTTCTTGAGTTCCAGAATCCCTCCCTGTCATTTTAACTATAAATAGTTGAAAGATGAGTAAAAGTTTAACATAAATAAAAATACATTTTAAAAATAGCAAGGTTAGCAATATTTGAAAAAATAGACATTTTCGTTTCCGAGTTATAGAAAACGTATTGGCATTGGTATACGAATTTCAAGTATGATTTTTCTGCGTTGCTAACAAAATAGTTACTCGCCCTTACCTCTACTCTTACCATTACAAGCAAAAGGAAAGTTCAACAAAACGTGCTCATAGTGAAGCTACATTTGCGTCCACAAGCAAAACAAGGGGCCTTCTCAGCATTTGCGCAATGTATCAGGGAAACTGGGCAAAAAACCGATCGAGATGGGGGTCATTGATACGGAAGCTGAAGTGTATTATATGTTAAAAACATTAAGTCTTCAAAATATTTATACAATACAAATGTGAACTAATTCATTATATATCACTGTTTTGTTAAAATAAATATTTTTCTTTTTGATAATCAGTGTAGTCCCTAATTGTATGGAAATAGTTATGCAGCAGAAAAAAAATTATTTTTAACTTAAATTTGAGAACCGACTTAAATTGTTTAATGTCATCTGGCAATGCGTTGTAAAGTAACGTACATGAATTGTATATGGATTTCTGATAGTGAGCTGTTGATACTGACATTTGATGAACGTGATTTTTACGACGTGTGTTATAAATATCAGTATTGCATGAAAATATGTTCCCACGGTAAGTCACTTTTGCCAAACATTCGTAAACTTTCGTAGTCATTTTGGTTTGAGAATTGTATGTGTACTAAAGGAACACTGATAAGAATTTTACTTCGAAACAGTGGCTGTTGCTCCGTAAGCTCTCGAGGGCGGCGCCCTCCCCCAAAAAACAGCCTCCGGAAATGTTGCAAAAAGTATTAAACTTGCAATTAATATATTCGTTTAATTTGTGCATACCACCAGCGCAATGTTTTAGGACGAATTTAGTTTTAAACGCCCGATTAGGGGGCAGCGTGCTCCTATTGGTTTTGTTCGGCAGAGACCGCGGCTATTAACTAAGCTAAGAATACCGACCTTTTTATCTGATTTTTTTAAAATTATTTTTGTTGCGTCAACTTAGATGCAACGCCTCTCCAGGCCCCTTGAGAGGCATTGAGCGCTTCGCGCTTTTGGAGTAATCCTCCATTAACAAATGCGCGGGAGTAATTCTCCATTAATTAAAATAGTCCGTCACGTCTCGTCTCAGTCAGCTGTCAAAAGGACCGCCAGATAGCATCTCCGCGTACGCACCTCTCTTACTCGCTTCTGCGTCACAACCCAGCAGCCAGAATTGGGAAGGAGTTAGGGTAGGGTTAAGGTTTAGGATGCTTCACTGGGGTTGGACTAGCCCCTGTGAAGCATGCAAACCCGTTTTGTCGTAACAAATTTCACACGAGGTTCAACGTGGATTATTCAGGGGTCGAACTCGGAACCTCAGCCGTGAAAGGCAAGCGACTTCGCCACTGAGCCACGAGAGCATAAGCATTTCATGCATTAGTTTTTGCTGGATATATTTTTTTAAAATCTCTTGTTTTCAAATGAGCACAATTGTATCTTCCTTTATCAACGTAAAAGTTGTCTTAGACGAGGATTAAAATGCCGACACCTGCTAATCGGATGTACTCTACATACCATATTTTTCGTTGTTCAAGAAATATTTTGAAGACATAAGAAGTATGTGAGAGTTCGGACATACATGCAGCCCCTCCTAATTCGCAACCCACCGGCCGCCACTGGTTCGAAGTCGCTTGCTTCTTAAAATGTCACAAATCGCTGAAACCTGGACGTAACCAATCCTCCCCTTGCTCACATGGGATAATGCAAATCTAGAGGAGCATAAATGGTCGACAGAGTCAGTTCACGTTATCAAAGACGTTCGATCCTAGGACCTCCTCTTAAATGACACTAGCCTTTTTCTTTCAAACCACAGCCTGCCTCGTCTTCTTCCACCTCTTGAACAGCTGACTGACAGCAGAGAAAGCTATTCTCTCATTCCTCAGTGCTGAGAGGTCCTCGACGAGGCTCAGCCCACTTGTGTCATCAAAGCATTATTAGGGCGAGGGACGCGGCGGAGATAGTGGTGCTGCTTTAGGCAGGGGAAAAGTCCCGAGACTCAGCGTATAGCGTATTCACTTGCCCCGCCGATTCCTCTATTTTATATCCAAGTGTTAGGAGAGTGCGAGCTGTACGGTATTGTATATTGGGAATCATCATTCTACTCGAAACCTATATTAATAAACTCTATAATCTCCAAGCATACAGTCCTTACCGTGCCTCAATTCTTGTATGCTGCTTGGCGGGCATAATGTGTGAGAAGATATTAAATGGCGAAGGCCATTTAAGTTGCGCTTCTCTCTGAATCTAGGGCCTTTAGCAGGGGGCTGATAACTGTCCTTTCTGACACTTGCGAGACACGACCCGCATTCGCCTCTTCCCAAAGAAGGTCGATGGCGCGGGAAAATACGTAATATAGCTCACAATGCTTTGGGCTGCATGGAATCCCTCTAGGAGCGGCAAATTTAAAGTTCAGATTGTTCAGAATCGAAAATGTGTTCTTATGATTTATTAAATGTTTGGTCTGCAGGCAAGATGTATCAGTATATTGCTATATAAGTGTTACTAAAGGTATATGTCGCTAAGAAAACTGAAATCTTGTTATAAACAATAACATTAATTTTGTAAAATTTGTTGGGGTCTGCAATTTGCACATTCACTTCGCCCTGTCCCTCTTTATTCATTACCTTGATCCATTTTTATTCCTTTTGATTTTGTTCTCATGCACAATATTTTTCTTGTTGTCTAATCTTCATTATATTGTTCTCTTCTCCTTTTGAGACAGTATATTTTATTTGTTTATATTTTCCTGTCAATTAACTATCTTTTATCAAAATGTAAATGCTGACAATTCTTTGCCTTTTCTCTAGGGATCCGGATATGGGACATATGACTGGAAATGATGTGCATTTAGGATTGCTTCCCTTATTTCATGCCTATGCATTCTTCACACAGTTCTGTACTCTAGCTCTTGGTGTGAAGAGTATAATACTCCCCAAGTTTGAAGAACAACTTTTCTTGGAAAGCATTCAAAATCACAAGGTAAGCTAGAAAATGGGTTTTCCCAAAATATTTTTAACTTGCTTCATCACATTTGAAAAATTATTCTTGATAATACGAATTATTTCTTTCTTTTAAAAGATATTTCTGTATTTAATTGTGACATGTAGTTTTGAAATTGAGATAATGTGAACATTTTGCAGAAGAAGTGAGATCAATTTAAAAGGCGTTCAGTGTTATTAGTAATTAGATTCTCAAATGGAAGTAAATTCCTAGAATGGTACTAACGATCTGAGAATGATATTACTTATAATTGAAATGGAGACTTTCTATAATAATAATATTAATATTAATATTAATAATAATAATAATAATAATAATAATAATAATAATAATAATAATAATAATAATTAATAATAATAATCGGTACGAGAGAGAATTTAAGCTTGAAGAATCAGGAGCACAAGTAAGTAACCCTTTTTATATGGATGACTTGAAACTGTATGCTGAAAACAAAAGTCATCATCACAGCATCCTAGAGTGTGTGAAAAAATTCAGCAGTAACATAAACATGAAATTTGGACTCGACAAGTTCAGAATTAGCTATATGAGTAAAGGAACATGGGTTGAACATCCTGTATATGAAGTAAATATAGAGCAAGGTAGGTACCATCAAAGGAATGTCTGCGGAAGAGAAATACAATTATCCCGGATATTGGCAGTCTAAAGTGATAGAAGACAAACTGGCCAAGAAAATGGTGGGTACTAACTAAATCCAGAGGGTGCACGCCATCTTTAAGACAGAGTGAGTGCCCGCAACAAAGCGAAAACAATCAACATACATGCAACCTCAGTACTCATTTCTTGCTTTGGAATACTAAAATGGATCATCACTGCACTGAAGAATTGTGACATAAAAAAGGAGAGAAGTTTGTAAAGCAAGAGCACACAACTCACACAATTCAATTGAAAGGTTTCATATGCCCCGAGCAGATGAAGGCAGAGGTATTTCTAGTGTCATGACCAGGCAATATATGCAAGTGAAAAATCTGAGAGACTACTTCCTCCAAAAGGCAAAATCCAGGGAGTGGATGACTGCAAATATAACAACAAATCACAGTCACACCTCTTAAACTCTCCAACATAATGTACGATCCTTCGTTGAAGAACCCCGCAAATGAACAACAACTAGAAAGATGGAGGAGCAAAACCTTCCACGGCCGTTACAGAAACACATTAGAAAATAGTGAAATAAATCTGCAAGCTTCTTTGGCTTACCTTCAAACTGGTAACTTGTTTGCATAAAACGCAAGGCTTCATAATTCCGGTTCAAGATCAGGTAATCACAAGGAGAGCTTACTGCGTGTACATCATGCGTGAAAACATACTAAACGCCAACTGTGTCCAAAAAGATAAGGAACGGTCACATAATTTCTGGATGCTCAGTTTTAGTGCCAAAACAATATATGGAAAGGCATAATCGTGAACCAAAATTATTCACCAGGCTCTCAGAAAAAAGTATTTCGGCGAGGAGAAGCAGGCACTATACTACTCTTATGGTCCACCACCAATAAGAAAAGACGAGAACTGCAAACTTCACTGGAACTTCCCAAAAGTAACAATATCCCGAATAACATTCCGTATATTGTACGGGATTTGAAGACATAAAAACTTACATAATCGATATAGCAGACCCTCAACCAGCCAATCTCATGAAAACACGCGGGAAAAATTAACAAATACCTGCCATTGCCAAGTGAAATCAAATCTATGTGGGGTATGACAGAATTCATAGCGGTACCAGTTGTTATTGGCGCTACATGACGAAATCCCCAACACTTCTTAGACTTGAACCGTGATGTGTACTTATCCATTAAGAAGTCCGTGATTATGGACACCTGCAATATTGTCCGAAGAATACTGGGAAAGTAGATGGGAAAGATGTACCGTAATCTCACGTCCTTTGTTTAACGTCCGGAGTAAGAGGTCTGCCACCATTGAAGTGAAATAAAGAAATGAAAATAATAATAACAACAACAAAAACAATAACACCTCCACCACCACAGGGGCTCCCGTCTAGGGAGTTCTTGGATGGCGTCCACGGTATCCCAACTGTATCAAGCATCTTCTCTTTTAAACCTAACCCCAGCCCTTGTATGACCCAGATAGGGCTGTATGTGAAGAGTAGTCCAGGCGGTAGGTGAAAATGCTAGGAGAAGGATACTCCGAAATAAAAAGGGCTATGGAAGGTCCTTTAGGATGAAATCTTACGGTGCAGGGGCTCGGATCCCCATACGGCGACCAGCAGTGCGCGAGCAGGCTCCGGAACGTCGTCATCCAGCGACTGCAATGGCATAATGTGTCCCATTTGGCATATATGCCAGATAGGGCTACAAATGGAACCCCTTCTGGAAGGAGGACAAAGGACTGTGTCAGTACCTCTGAAGGAGCAAAACCAGGAGCAGTTACGGACCTGTTGTGGGATAAATGGAATTGCGTGGAACATTTGCAAAAGGCCCAGATGAAACTAATAGAAAGTCTTGTCTGGAATCTGGGTATAGTTGGGAACAATTTGTTAAGGAACAATCCCACAACAGTGAAAGAGTCACCGGCTAAAGCCATTGAAGAAATTGACATGATGAACAAATGCCGAGAGTTCTGGCAACAACTACTCGCAGAGGAAGAGCAACGACGGAAGTCCCCGACGGGCCGTACTGGGGCTGAAAAGCTTAAAGGTCTTGCTCGGCAGGAGAGGAAGAAGGATAAGGCTCCTTGTCCTCCGGTTGTAAATTGCAAACAGGATAATGAATATATTTTAATAGAAGCAGCAAGCGAATATACGCAGAAATGGTTGGTTCCCAAGGAGGAACACAGGAAGAAAATTAAAAAGTAGAAACAGTTAAATCCAAGAGAAGCCGCATACTGAATCAGGCTATTGAAGTGGCAGCCAAAGATGGGGAATGCGTTTCGACATCGTTAAGAAAATGAAGGACGTAGATCCTAAAATACATGGTGCGGAAATCCTGTCTATATGCAGGACGCACATAAAAGAGCTACCAATTGTTCTTGGCTCTAATGAGGCTGTAGAAAAGGCTGCAGACGCTCAAGCCAAAGTAAATATACTTTTGAAATCCGGGACATCGGCAAAACAGTAGTAGTCGACGTTGTGGAGGTAGTCACTCGGAAGATAAAAATGCCGAGAGAACAAATCATGCCGATTGAAGAAGGGATACGGCAGGATACAGATGGCGTCAATCCTTCTGCCAGCAGAGTTAGCCCGTGAACTGGTGGCTTCGCGACGTTTGACGACAGATGTCATCCTGCAGGTGGTATTTCAGAGACAGCTAAGCGCGTTGATGGGAAGAACAAAGGATTCTGTGCGCTAGTAGTCATAGATATAAGATAGGCCTTTAACTCTCTCACATAAAGGGACAAGCGCTTGTTTCATTTGTAGCGGATACATTATACAAAATGGCAAATTGTATCTTACTCATTCATCTTTTGAAACACTTGCTCAAACGTGTGAAATTTAAATTTGCAATTTTCGAAAGCTTAGGTTTGAATAAAAATCGGAAAGAATCTAGTACTTAGCTCTACTCGTTGGGGGAGGAATTACTTTAGGAACGGCGGAAATCTAGACTTCAGTTTTGCAGGTGGACGCTGCGCCACGGAAGGAAACAAGAGAAAGTAACTAAACTTTCAAATAGAAGGGTATTGTAGAAGTAACAATAATTATTACTCATCTCAAAGTTACTACTAGTTTTTCGAAAAGCTGTAGGTAGGTACAAGAAATTATTCAAAGATTTAATATTGAGAAATATAATACATTAAGAAGTGTCTAGATTCAATATTTAAGCAGTAATACAGATTGGAAATCTTTGTCACCATATAGCAGAAAATTCTCAAAAACTTGGAATATTTTCAAAAATGTGTATATGAAATGATTTGAAGATTTAATATTGAGCAATACTTTGTACTATATACGAGGTCTCTAGTTTCAATATTAAAGGTGTAGGACTCGTTGAGAGGGAAAGAAATCGTACTTTTGCAATTTTCAAACTTCCAGAATATGTAATGAAAATAGAACCTACTAGTGGCCTGCAGCAGTAAAAAGTGCTGCTGAACAAAACCACACAAAATAGCAAAAAATAGCTCACTCAAGAAAAAATAAGACTTGTATATCACTGCAATACATTAAATATTCTTCACCAATTCTGCAATACCATAGTATGGTGTGTGTTTGCATTACGCGCGCGTGTAGTACAACAGTTCTTTACACATCGAGAATGTTTCATGTGAATACCAAACAGCGGCGGCCTCGACCGTGGACGTTTGCTTTCGCATGTCATTAGCTGTGACGCGCAGAGTATTGGAATGCAGACGGTACGTCCTGTATGAGAATAGCCGGTCTAGCATAAATATTTGCGTTTTTCTGTCAAAATCGAAACGATTTCATTGTTGTTGGATTTTCCTCGAGTTCGTGGGTATCTAAGAAAGCCATTGACACCTCGCACATGCGCGTTGATTGCATAATTTCCTTTGATTTTCTGTGCGCATTGAAAATAAGTAATGTAGATAGATGCACAGTGGCCTATTCTAAGTTTAAGAACTGTGGAATCACATCCTGGATGCAAGTACGCTGAAAGTGAGAAGCTTACCGTGTTTGTTCACATTTCAAGATTTAATTCATTTACATTATGTATAGTGTAGTAAGTTACTTAATAATTATATACATATTAATTTTTTTGTATTGAAATTATGTGTATAATTAATTTTACAAATTTATTACCAACTAATCCTCATAGTTTGGGGCCGATCACCTATTACCTGCTTCCCTAAATTGTATGTCTAGTATAAATATTGGAATTATCAGTGTGACATTTATGTGAAACTAAAGTTCTTTAATTTACCACAAACATTACGCAAATTGGTTCGAAGATAACTGACGCAAATGTATACAATAGTTTTTAAGCAGCTAGATAATAAATATAATTTCCTTAACGTTTCCGTTAAGGAAAAGTAAACACGTCCAGTAACACAATTTATTATCATTATTGTAGTGGTAATACTTAAATATTTAGAGCACACTGTTCTCTTGACGTTGGCTTTTGAGATATGGAAACGACAGCTGAAGCTTTTCCGGCCTTCATGGTTTTCAGTTTTCCCTGAAAGGGACCGATTGAATAGATTGGATATCAGCAAATCAAGGTCTACTCCACAATTGCCATAAATTCTTGACCATTCACTCTCTTCAACGGCACAATGTTACCAAAAAATCATAAATCCGAAGCCAGAATTGCGCCATCACCTTCGATTTTTTAAATCGCAAAACATCGTGAAGTTGTATTTTTTCGAGGGTTGTGGTTAGGCCCAAAGACTTGACACATATTTCTGCATGTCGACGCGCTGAAACAATCTGAAGCCAGAATTGTCCCACATCCCTCCAGTTTGTTTTTAAAATCGCAAAAAAACACCATCAAATTTACAATCTACAATTTCATGATTTTTTTCTTCTTTTTTTTCCCTACGATAAAAAAGGACGGTGATACCGCAATTCTGGCTTCAGATTCGGATTCAGCACGTCGAAATACATATAAAATCATGTGTCAAGTCTTTGGGTCTGACGTTTTGTTGTGTGTGTACCTGTGTAATTTAATAACTTAAGTTAATATTAACAGCACACTGTGATATTGTTCAATAACATTCAAATTTATATATAGATGAAACCAAAAAATTCCTTTTACATCATAGACCTGAGCAGTACAATCAAATGCCAAATTTGAACAGTTCAGCCATGTTAAGTTGGTCTGTCCCTTTCTGTTATTCTCCAAACAAATTGGTGTTTCAATAAGAAGTACAAATGATTTCCTCCTCTAAGAAATATTCAAATTCATCTTAAACCATTTTTAAAAAAATATAATAAAACATTAGTTAATATTCAATTCTGTGTGCTAATTATGTTAAATTTTCTTTTAATAGGTCACATTGATGATGCTTGTTCCTCCCCTGATGGTTTTCTTAGCAAAGCATCCACTGGTAGATAACTATGACTTATCATCAGTTAGAGCAATGTGGTGTGGAGCAGCTCCATTAAGTCCTGAAATTCAGGAGCAAGTTTCCCAAAGAATTCAAGTACCATCAATTAGACAAGGGTATGGAATGACTGAAATGACCCTAGCTGCATTAATTACTCCACCAGATGAACATAAAATAGGATCGTCTGGAAAACTACTGCACAATTTGGAAGCAAAGGTGAGAAAATGGGTGTATACTTTGTCTCACCCCGTCTTTTCTAGTTTTGTTTTTTAGCCTGATTATATCTTTGATAGCTCAGTATTTCTGAACCCATTGTGTGCTCAATCATTGCATTTTCTAAAATTATTATTGACCGGTGAAAGAATTTGAGTTCATTTACTGGCTTTTTTGCTATAAAACAGTGCACAATTATCTAACAAATAGTGAAAATATTACTTTGTTCTGTACAGTAGTTTCATTGACATTTTTTGGCATGTATTATTAAAGCACTTGTAGATGCTGTTTTACAAATACAAATAAATGTGCTTGAGTGCAGGTTGAATAATGATGAAATGTGGTCGAATAGTTGAAAAATGTCTTGTACATTTGCTTGCATGCTTAATATTGTAACGTTTCTCCATTGTGAATTATAACACACTCAGGTAGGTATTCTAACAAAAACATGTATTCGTAAACAATGCTACACTAAAAATACTTGATTTATTTACAGGTATATTACACAATCTTTGTGTTCTTCACCTGGTTATTTTCCTTACACACGACTCCGTTCTCTTGATTATTTATTTACACAGTTCACTTCTTCTGTTTATTTATTTACACTGTTCACTGCAATCTGATTATTTATTTACAATGTTCCCTTCTTCTACACTATCGCACAGTCCGATGCACTGTCCACGGTCCACTACTGTCTACTACTGACTGACTCGCGGCCGCCGGCAGCGGCGAATTTATACCTGGCCGGCGCCTCGACACAATCGGCACTTGCTCCACATTTCTACGCGACTCGCTAATAGTCTGTCCAGTTTTGGAGGAAGGGGGGGGGGCGCCGTCAGATGACACAATCCGCGCAGCTAATTCCGGCAGATGATGTAATATTCCTTACAATATGTGGCCTTTATTTCATCCATTGATAATGTACGTTCTAAATTTTCTCACTTTCTCACTCTTTCTTTTCTTTCTTTCTATTTTTTCTTTTCTTTCTATTTTTTTCTTTTCTTTCTTTCTATTTTTTCTTTTCTTTCTTTCCATTTTTTCTTTTCTTTCTTTCCATTTTTTCTTTTCTTTCTTTCCAT